TTGTTACAACCAAAAGAGCTGAGTCTGAGAATCCCAATTTGTTGAATTCTTTCAGTTTTTCTTTGTTTCTCCACACCTTTTCTATGGAGCTGCTTAAGCACAAAATTTGTTTAAGCATGAAGAAACCTTGCTTAAAAAACAAAGGTTACCAGCTCAAACTCTTTGTGATTGTCATGCTAACCAAAAGAAAGCCGAATATCATTCCAAAACAATATACATGACGTGGAGTTTTGGCTGATAACCTGATTTATAAAGCAAGGTTTTTTCACGCTTAAACAAATTTTGCGGTTAAAGAGCTCTGTGAAATTGGTCCAGCTGGTAATAAAAAGCAAGCCCTTAATCTCTCTTGGGCCAATTTCATAGAGCTGCTTAAGCATAAAATTTGCTTAAAGCCTGAAAAAATCTTGCCCGACAAATCAGGTTACCTGCCAAAATCCATGTGATGTATATTGGTTTGGAATGATATTCGGCTGTCTTTTGGTTAGCATGACGATCACAAAGAGTTTGAGCTGGTAACCTTTGTTTTTTAAGCAAGGTTTCTTCACGCTTAAAAAAATTTTGTGTAAGGTTTTTTGAAAGCAAGGTTTTTTGTGCTTAAGTAAATTTTGTGCTGAAGCAGCTCTTTGAAATTGGTCCCTCTGGTCTGGTCACTCTGGTCTGGTCCCTCTGGTCTGGTCCCTGCAACCTTGTTATAGCAGAGTTGACTGTAAGTCTGTGATTAGGACTAGCACATGTAGTGCTCAAGGCACTGTGTTAGCTTCACCCTGGCTTGTCAGGCGCTTAAAGAATTGTCACCCATCTCAATTACCTAGGGATCAATGACAGGTGTCTTGCTTATGGACACGGGTGTCACAATACCAGAGCTGGGCTCTCGGAGTCTCATCAACAAACTTGTAAACTATCAACAAGATCTTGGGTTCAGTTGACCAATCTGCAAAGCATTATCACTTGGCTGAATGTTTGTTTTCTGTGTTTCCTGGTTTTTCCATTCCCAGCTCAATATGGGAGGGACAGACTGTGCTCTGCCAATGATCCACGCCAGAAAGAAGAAGATCCCTGTGGATGTCTTCATTGTCTACACGGACAATGAGACATGGTTTGGTGATGTCCACCCGTCCCAGGCGCTGCGCGACTACCGCAAGGCAATGAAAATTGACGCCAAGCTGATCGTGGCCGGTATGTCAGCCACCAGCTTCTCCATTGCTGACCCGGCAGACAAAGGCATGCTAGACATTGCGGGGTTCGACTCGAACTGCCCTGACCTGATACGCAATTTTGCCCTGAATTTGGTATAAGTGGTGTCAATGGGAACTTTGTACAGAGCAGCTCAATAAGAAGCCTCAGGCAATAGGATGACCTTTCAAGGGGCGGGGCTTACAGCCAGCAGGTTGGGGGGTAATAGGCTACACGAAAAAACTAATGTCTGTCTTGAAAGGTACATGTAAAGTAAACAGTTTAAGACATTTAAGCAACATCATTTTAACTTTTCAAGAAATAAATTTGAATGATATCATTTAAAAACCAATTTTTAAGATGTCCAGTTTTATCCATATTTAATCATCAGTCGCAGTGCATTAGAGCCAAATATGAAAATTATTCTTGAATTTTCATGTATGTTGTATGTTACTTATGTCTGCTACATACAGTGTAAGCCTTTTTGCTTGTGCATGGTCAGCCATAGCAGTTGCCAGTCTTTAAAAAGCAGACTGATACATTTTTCAAAGTGTTGCCTATAAGTACCAATAGTGAGCCTGATGAAAAATCTGCAGTGCCCAGCAGCGTCAAAATTAGCTTGGGGATTTTCTTCAGTGCTAGAAATTAGTGCAGGCTTACAGTCTTCTAGCCTACATTGTATTTGTCCTGAAATCGCTTTACATAAACCTTTTTATGTTGTTATATTGTAAACTATGTTTTGTGTCTACTTTTGAAAAAACAAGTGTGAAAAAAGTGCCACATCATCTGTGAGATAGTAAAGAGCTTCACCTGTTTAGTCGAGTACAATTTTGAATTGAAGTGCAGAAGTTCAGAAAATCACCTACTGAAAAGATGACTTGTTCAAGCCAAGACAGTTTGGGTTTGTTCCTAACCATTTGACTTGTGTCTGTAGTTTTTGGAGGAATGGAGTGTGTCAAAAATTGTGTAAATGTTCCAACTTCTTTTAAAAAATAAATGACGTTTGTAATTGAAAGGCAATGATATGTAAGTTATTCACTGTTTTGATTAAGGATTAGGTATATTGGGGAAAGTTGACAAAAACTTTCACGATGAAAGGTAATTAATTAAATATTTTAAGGATCAGGCATGTTGGAGGTTATCTTTGGTCTTTTAATGTTCATTTTAACTTGCAAATGAAACAACACATCGATAATCCAACTGTGATTTTGGTAAATACATGTTATAGAATGCCTGTCTTTTAATGATTTATGGGTAAAAAAAGGAAATTTACAGCAGATTTAAAGTAACTTTTCTCAAATACCAACGGCGTCATTTGCCTGTCTGATTGAAGGCCATTTCATGGCTGTGTAATGCATGTTGTTTGCTGACTAATACTTTGCTGCACAGATAACGGAATTAGGCATGTAAATGTATTTTGAAAAGTGAGGAAGATTTACATTGTGCATAATCACATTTGCAATATCATAACTTGGGGAAAATGGAATTTCGGATTCAATTTGTAAATCCATGCCACATCTTAGTTTATAAATACATATACATGTACTTGGTTTGTAAAATGATATTCATGTTTGACATATGTGTCCACTAGGTCATATTAGGGCTTTATGTTGCTAGAGGGAGTTTTTATTAACTTTTGAAAGTTGTAATATGTAACTAAAGTTTTGAGGAAATAGACAACAAAATATTTTTTAAATGATAGATTAAACATATTTGCTGCAGAAGTTGATTTGAAATCTGATTCAGTCCGGAATGAATTGTACCTGAATGAACTCTTTGTGTAGAAGGAACAAGAGTGTAGAATGTTTTCAAATAAAATGCAGAAAAACTCCAATTCTGCAGTCACTCTACGCATGTATACGTGAAGTTAAGGAGAGAATCCAGCCATTAGCAAAGTTTCAAAAAAGTTACTCACAAATGCAGGATTGTACACAAACTCTCAGATGTTATTACACTGCCTTCAATGGATTCATCAAGTACATGTATTACCTTTCTGTTAATGGTGTATTCTTTTGAGGTCATTTTGGACCCTGGTGAAACACTACATAAACCATTCCAGGCTTATTTGTGATAAGAATTCCATGCCCCAGTAGCTAATTCAAACCAAGGACGCGTTAAAAACCAAACCAAAGATAGCACTATACCTGAACTTAAACTGAAATACTACAAGTTTACATTGATACTATACAAAATAAACATGACACCTTTCTCAAAGTTAGCTCCTAAGTATTAGTACAACTAGGCATGGCCTTACTTCTAATTCAAGGCGGCTAAATCTTAAATAGAGGTAAATAACCTGTCAGGGTAGCTGACTGGCAACTTGTTGGGGAAAAAGTGCAGCTGTAACTTGCAAAAATCGGGGACTATTCTGCAGGTAAATCCAAGGAGCAAACTGCCCCCATGGGGTCAAAGGTTATGCCAGATTAAGCATGGAGCCCAGAACATCACACAAAAACACCACTTCAAGTCACATACAAATTAAATACTTTACATCTATGTTCATGTATGGCCTGCCAAGCTATGTTTGTCTGAACCCTGATTTCCGTAACCAAAATGAATGAATTTCAGGCTTTTTAAAAAAAATCCTAAATGACACCGTTGCATCACTTGGAACTCTTCTCACTGCTCAAAATGTCTCCAGTATTTGTCGTGAACTAGTTCACCCAAGATGTTGTGCATCCAGGAGAGTTAGATTTTTTAATCAGGTGCTTTGCCCTTCGTGAGCTCTCAGGCATCACTGAGCACACGGTGATATGAATGTATGTCAACGTAAGGGCAAGCCCATGATTAAAAAATGAGCTCGCGTAGTTGGTGCACGCAACATTGACTGCTTTATGCTCTGCACTGTGTTAAATATTTTCACCGCACGCAAAAATACCTTCTTGCGAAATTCCAGTGTCTGGTGCTTGATGCAATGATTTCATCTGTACAAAGATGTTGCACTTTAAATAAACACTTCATGCATGTCCTAAAGTCTATATTAAAATGGACAAAACCACGCAGTAAGCGATTTACTACCAAGTCCCATATATTACTGAGAGAACATCTCCAAATCTGGAATGACTGTTTATCTCAGAAATGATGCCTACTACAAAGAGGCATTCCAGGTCATTTCCCTGCTCAAATTTCTGTGTCGATGTATTTCTTCAGAATTCTCCTCAGAGGAAGTATGGCGTCGTGGTGCGAGTTGGTATCACTCTCTCAGCATCCGGCACGGCCCTGAAGAGTTTGGCCTCCTTTGTTGCTGTGTCGCGGAAGGCAAGGATGGATGCAATATTGCCACAGCGGTAGCAGTAGTTAGGCGCTGACCACACCGTCACCAGTTTCTCATCAAACATGTACTTGTAGCCTTCATGGACGAGTTGGTGGGCTCGGCAGATCAGCTTCAGGTTGTTGATGTGGACAAACTGTGGCGATATGAGAAATTGGAATTTCATTATCCGGCTTTGTTAACAAACCAATGTCCGCAGAATCTGCAAAGACATCTCCTTGATGAGGAAAATCTGTGAATAGAGAAAAACCTGACTTGAGACGGGGAACAAATGTGAAGTGTGGTATTAATTTTACCGACCTCATTGACAACTTTGGCTCCAAACAGCCAACCTGCTCCTCGAGGGCTAATAGCCCAAGTGTCCACATCCTCTGGGTCCGACCACACCAGATGTGAGAGGAAAATGTTAAGGATGAACAACCACCAAAATATACCTATGAAAAAACATAGTAAGATTCTACTGGGATGAACACATCAGGCACTCAAACTTTTTCGATTTAAAACAAGATTTTGACAGCAAAATGAACAGTGAGCAACAGGACAGCTTTAGGTGATACAGGGATGTCTTGGGTGGTTTAGTGAGTAGTGACAAAGCATTTACAAAGGATATCACAAAAGGCCCCCTTGTGTGGGATTTCCTGAGCCCTCTCAATCGTCCGGATCTGGTCAAGGGTCTTGACGTCTGGCGAGAGACCACCATGAACACACAAGATCTGCTCATCAATAATCTGGGCAGAAAAAAATACAAAACATAGGCTGTGATTAAACTCGAACAGCAGTCACCACAGCAGGTTAAATGCTTTCATCATCAACTTGAAGTTGGTTCGCATACTTACAGCGGCAACTGTGAGCAGATCAAAGACCTTGGTACAGTATCGCCAGGCATTCGCATTGCCGTATTTAGTCTGACATTCATCTGTGGACAGAACGAGGGAAAGTATGTTCAAAACTTTAAAAGTTTAGAGGAAGAACAATTGTCCATTTGTTTCATGTTTTCTGGTATTGATCAAAGAAAGTTCTACGATCTCACCATAGAATCCATAGACTTGTGTGATCTGTCTGCTCTCGTGGTTGCCACGGAGAAGCGTGATGCGATCCGGCCATTTGGCCTTGAGGGTGAGTAACCTGGTGAAAGTCTCCAGGCTGTAGTAACCACGGTCAACAAAATCACCCTGAAAAAGAGGAGGACGAGAAAGAAAAGAAGAAATTCTGATCATCCAGATGGCATCAAGAAAAAATTGTTGAACTTTTTGGCAGTCTTGCATTGGGTTGTGTCTCGGACAAAGCACGATTCAAGCATTACATGGTTTTTAAAAAATTCTTACCATGAATATGTAGTTGGTGTCTGGTATCTGACCTCCTGTCCTGAACAACTCCTCTAAATCATAAAACTGAAGAGATAAAACAGGTCGGGAAAAACAACTTAAAAACAACTTTAAAAGAAAAGTAATATAATAACCCTTTTTCACGTTTCATGTGTGCATACTCAGAAGATTTATCAGAGGGGAACAAATTCATGACATTACCTAACGTTTGGCAAATGGATGCTTGCGACTGTTATCATTGTAGACAATTTGTCCCCTTTGTTCACTTACTCGCAAGGGATCGCTAAAATCAACATGGCGACGCAACGGGAAATTGACTTATTGTAGCGTGACTCATTCTAATAATGTTCAAAATGGAATATTCAGGGTTTTCTTGATTTCAAACCACTGGTTTGACAGGGAATAATAATCCAAATCTTAGCACAACTGAAAAGTAATATAGCAGATTACTGATATTAACATGCTACAGACAAGCTGAAAATTTGTCTGATTAGGCCTACAGTAAACCTTTGTGTTTACCTGTCCATGAATATCTCCACATACAGTCACTGGAGTGGAAACCGGTTGCACATTGGATTCTTCCAAGAGAAGATCGCACACGTAATCACAGAGTTTCTGTTACCAAAATTTCAATTAAAAATATCAAACAGTGTCACTCTCTCAGACAAAAATGAAAACAATACAGCAATGCAACTTTCTGTTAATGAAAAAAGGTGATTATGGAAGGGTTTGGTTTGCTTCGAGACTTTAAAACAAGTCTACTTTTAAAGCTTTGATTTCTTTATAACCCTACCTCTGACCACCCCAACTCATTTTATCCCCGCCCACCGATAAAATACCACTTTCACGTCATTCCACTGCAATCTGCAGTTTACATGGTTTACATCATGCATGATGATCACCTCAATATTTGAGGAAATCAGCATATCGGTACGCATTATGGTGCCCCCTTTCACGTTTTATCAAAAAACAATTCAGAGTAATTCTTCGTAGTGTTAAAAACACTCAGTGGATAGTTTCAATACCTTTAAGTCGTTTTCCGGGAGATACTTGCACTGTTTTGCAATGTCGATCCATCTTTCAACTGACGACGGCTCCGCCATTTTCCTGGTTTGTGAGTCATGAAACAGCGCCCTCTCTAGCACTGATCCAGTGATCAGGTGACAGTAAAAATGGCCGGATCAGATGTTGAACGATGGTTAGAACTGGCCAAAGGTTGTAAATATCTACCAGAAAACGACTACAAGGTACGGTGAATTGAATTCAGCATATTTAGGGACACATCAGGTCAATGGTGGCGGCTTGTGGCGGTTCAAAGCAGGTGAAGTGCCTGAATCGTCAGCTCGAACAAGTTTGACTAGTTTTATGCGCCCCGCCCCACATTCCCCTTAGTTTGTGTGTGTGTGTGTAGGGGGGGGGGTTTGTACTCACGGCACACTCAAATCCCTGAGGTAGGATTGATCGAGTAGGAATAGATGGAGCTTTGATCAATGCAGGATGATGGTAACTAAATATGGGAATTGTATATTTTGTGACACCCCCCAGTATTTTGTTAATCTTGCAAAACTGGACAGTCAACCCCCCAGAAATCACGTACAAACCAAAGCTCTCATTTTTTTGTGCTGACCCTATTTTTGGAAATTTTGAATCATAAATTGTGAGAAAATGTGACTTTTCTTGCTGATAAACCAGCCATTCCAATTTGAATCCATCATGTGTCATGTATTAAAACACTCACAGTTTCCCCTCAAACTTTCCTGCAAACTCTTTTCACAACATCAACCGTAGAGTTATTGGGCATGATGTTAAAGTCATCTACCAAGATGAATCCAAAAGTTAAAATGTAATCCCCCCTTCTGTTATAGGAGTTGGGTCCCCAAATATACAATCCCCATAAATTTTGGGAAGAGCTTCTCGAAACATGCAGTAAAAACAGTCATGTTCGTAACTTAGCCAATGTGCAGTGCATGCCATAAGAATTGAGACAAACTCAAGGTTCGTCATCATTTTACAGAAACTTTGCGAATATGTTTGCGAACTACTGCTTGAAGAAAGTAATGTACAGCCAGTCTCCACCCCAGTCACTGTGTGCGGCGACATCCATGGACAGGTATTAACCAATCAGTGGTTTGATTTTGAATTTTTTTGTCAGTGCTCTCGTTAAAACTCTTATTTTCTTCTTCAGTCGCCAACCCCAAGTTTGAAACTCAAAGGGAGCCCTTTTTCTGTCTTTTTTTTTACAGTTTTATGACTTAGAGGAACTGTTCCGATGTGGAGGACAGATACCTGATACCAACTACATTTTCATGGTGAGTATCATCAACTGTACGTGTCCTAATTTTTTTCTGACAATCACAGCTGGGCAAGTATTGTGGACATTTTCGCATTCACTATCTATTTATTCTCACTTTCTTTTCACACTCTTTGTTTGCACTGTCGTTCCAGGGTGACTTTGTTGACCGTGGTTACTACAGCTTGGAGACCTTCACCAGGTTGCTTACCCTTAAGGCAAAATGGCCGGATCGCATCACGCTTCTCCGTGGCAACCATGAAACAAGACAGATTACCCAAGTCTACGGTTACTACGGTTAGAAGCAACTTTCAGGGCAGTTTTATTCTGAACATTTCAAGCACACATATATTGGCAGAAAAGATCCCTTTCCAGCGCTGACCCTGCAGTTTAAGCTTGTTATAGCATGAGGCAATTTGCTTATTGTCGCTGCTAACAAACTTTTCGTCATTGCTTCCGTAGCTAGCCACAAATTGAGCGAGTTTCTTCTATCCATGTAAAACAAATCTGGTTGTCTGCATCTCACTAGATCATGTTTCATAGCGTCATGAGCCAGCAGCCATCATAGTCATCTACCACCATCTTGAAGAGAAATCAAAGTTGACTCTTGATATCATCTGCTTTCTCGTATGCAGGAGGTACAGAAAGAACTTTTCATTGAGCATGGTTTCATGTTTATCTGATGTTCATTTCTTTCTGTCACTAGCTGGTAAATTTCAACATTTTAGTTAAGACTGACGTAAGATCAGTCACAAGACCAGTCACAAATAACCGGGTGAATGATGACAGAGTAATGCTTTTGTTACAGTCATTTGAATAGCTTGTGACTTTAATTTACTTTGGTGGTCTTGTGATAGTCTTGAGAGGTCTTGACTCTGACACTGGTTGATTTTTCCACGCCACTGATATCTTCTGTATTAAGCATACTCCGCCTAATTGCACCATCTTTGCCTTTTCTGAAGTCTTTTCAAATTCCATGTTGTCTTCTAGGATGTGTAGTGATGTTTCCTTTTTAACCACTTCCTGCCCGGGGAATCCGGATCCTGACACGTGTGCTTTATATGCATGGCCGGGGTCTCCGAACTTGGACAAAGGGAACAGGGCCTTGTAACAAAAGACCGTACTCGGAACAAAAGACCAGGCTGCTGGGTATTACCAACATTTTTCACTCTCAAAAGTGGAGGTAATCCAGCCTTGTTTTGAAACAGTACACCACGGTTTGGGGCATTTAGAGCGATCGGATTACCACCGGGGACAAAAGCGCTCTACCACCACAGCGATGAGCCGCACAGTGCCGCTGCATGCTAATCTGGCCCCTATTGAAAAGAGGTCAGCAGCGCACTGAGCCAGGTTCGTGAACAAAAGAAAGTTGTATAACACCGCACAATTTGGGCTCTTTTTACAAGGCTGCAGGCCTGGCTGAAATACTCAGGCGTCAATAGATTTTGTCTGTCAGGCTAGAGGGGCCACCAGACAGTCCTTCATGAGTTTGTAAGTGTCCAGTAAATGAAGATGAGAATTTTTAAAGAATTTTGAAAACAAGAAAAAAAAATGATAATTATCCCGGCCCAGCATCGTCAACATTGATAACCGCCCCCGGCAGCAAGGGGTTAACAAACTTTACCAAAGCTACTGTTGTCTTCTTTCGTCCTTTCCAGATGAATGTCTGACCAAGTATGGTAACGCCAATGCCTGGCGATACAGCACAATGGTCTTTGACATGTTGACAGTAGCTGCCGTAAGTACAAGTTTGTTTTCTTTCCCCCTTTTTTTTTCTCATCTGACATGTGACCATACCCGGACTGGATTCGAACCACCTCTTACGTTCACTGCCTCGGCATCTTTTATACAGATCATTGACGAGCAAATTCTTTGTGTTCACGGCGGACTGTCACCAGACATCAAGACCCTGGACCAGATGCGAATCATCGACAGAGGCCAGGAAATCCCACACAAAGGAGCCTTTTGTGATATCCTTTGAAGCCAAAAAATCAAGTATCTTTAACCAGGAACTAAACCACAGACCCCCGAAGCACAGTTCAGGTGCCTCACCGACTTTACCTCTGAGATTCTACAGATCATCTTATTTGAGTGGGTGGTGCAAACTTGTTTGTTTCACAAAAGCAACTTTTGAACTGAACAGAGAAACAAGTTATGACAGTGTATATAACGACACGCAAATTTGACATGCGACTTCCGACTGTAACCCTTAATCATTCTCACATATTGTCTGGTCTGATCCGGAAGATGTGGACACATGGGCCATTAGTCCAAGAGGTGCTGGCTGGCTGTTTGGTTCCAAGGTTGTTGATAAGGTAACAAGAATTGGATTAAGACTACTGCCGTAGTCTACGTCTATAAGAAGGAGAAATGATAGAAAATAAATGCAAAGCTTTGGCCATAAAACACCTGACTTTGACTCAGCATTTACCAATAAAACTTTAGTCTGTACTCAGACTGTAGTTGTCAAGCAGCAAACTGTACTTTCTTGTAAAACTAATATTTTTAAGATTTCATTATATATATTCTTGCATGTAATGAACAAATCAAAATGTCTTCGGAAACTTTCCCAACATTTATACAAACTTTCCAACTTAGGATTTCATAATTAGGTGCATCTATAGAAAATCATTTCATCTCTTAACCGTTTCCATCTTGTAGACCTACTTTCAAATGTTTTGCCTAAAGTTTGACCCGTTTCAATCACATTTTGAAACCTGTTTCTGCCCAGGCTGGCATTCATACCCTTTATCACATCACCCTTCGCATAAATTTTCCAGTTTGAAGAGATTAATGGTCTGACGCTGATCTGTCGAGCTCATCAGCTAGTTCAGGAAGGCTACAAGTACATGTTTGATGAGAAGATAGTGACAGTGTGGTCAGCGCCTAACTACTGCTACCGTAGCGGCAATGTGGCGTCTATCCTGGAGTTCAGGGATGCCGACGCCAAAGTTGGGAAAATCTTCAGTGCGGTCCCAGACTCGGAGCGAGTCATACCAAGCCAGCCAACAACACCCTACTTTCTTTGATTGCCAAATTATTATTATTATTTTATTGATTTTTTGGGGGGGTCATGAAATGTTCTGACATCATGTGTTTTCCATGCAAGTGCTGTGTTAGCAGATTCTGTTCCGGTTTTGGATTGGTTATTTTCAGTTTCTATAAATTCAACGATTCAATTTGAATGTCTACTGGTCTTTCCACTTCCAAGTTTTGTTAACGTTCACAAATGCCCAATTATATATGCAAATTATGCATGCTAGGCAATTTAACACCTCCATACTTGATATTAATTATGCAATGTAAATGCAAGTATTCAAATACATTTCATGTTTGTAGCCAATTGTCTGTGGGCTTTACAGTACTCGTTTCAGGTAAATCTAAACAAAAATTGCTCCACTGCCAAATACTTGACACTTGAATTACACAGACTTGTTTGACTGACAAATTTTTTGTCATCAGTAAGACTTTTTATGAATTTTGAAATATGCTGTTGAAAGACAAAGGACTGGCATGAGATATTTAAGTCCAATTCTGGAAGTCTTTTTCTACACAAGTTTACTTGAGTTGTTATATATTTTTATTAATTCACAGTATTTTGTCATCAAAATTTAGAAACAGGGAATTCTCTGTGAATTACCATTTGTCAATGATTGAAATGAATTAGTAAATTAAAAGAGAAATGGTAACAATAGAAGAACTTTTTAATGGTGTTTATGTTGCATCTTTTTTATTCAGAGTGTGAAAAACTTAAGTTTCAATAAGAATCGTTAATTTGGCTGATCATTTCCAGTACATCAGGTGAAAAGACTATTGTAACTTCGACGATTACTTTAAGAGCAACTGTTTGGGGCACTAATTCATACCTTTTAAAGAACAACTTTTCAGATCTAGTTGTGTCAGTATGTCCTTGCGTGTAAATGCATAATTATTTTGGGTTGATGTGCCCCACAGTTTGCATATTACACGTTGGTTTGTTTTTGAATAAATTATTTCAAGATTTTCTAGGAGAGAACATGGACATAATATGTCGACTTGAAAGTTGTCAGTTTCTGTCCGGTCCGAAGTAGTCACTGGTACTGATTTCAGGCAACCCCCCCCCAGCAATAGTCGTCTCGATCAGTGCCGCCCACAATTTTACTAGGGCGCCCTCAAGTTGCTCAAACACGTGCGTTTTGCAAGCACAGTGGGCCAGTGCGATTCCCTTTCCGAATTTCGATGTTGCCTACAAACAGCAATCAATATCGAGGACTGTAGCAGTTTCAACAGTGCTATCCTAATATGGGTATGGCTTTGCAGTCTTATGAACATGTTGTTTTTAGTGTGAGCAAGTTAATTTTAACGAAATTTGTTGCCTGATGACGAATTGCTGTCACACTCGACAGTGTTGATCAGCTGTTCCAATGCTTAAGCTTGCATTTCCGACACCTGAATTTAACGATTGGAGTTGTGGTGGTACTACTAAATGCTGTCTGGCCAATAACAATATTGCTTGTTTTCATGAGTGAAAAGCATGAAGAGAAAACTTGATTTTAGAAAGAATTCCATTTCTGGCCGTGCGTCACTGCCCAAGTTTTCATGTCTTGTCTTGATAATGATAGATACTGTCATTACTGGGCCAACACCCCTTTTCGGGGTTCAAACGGGCAGGATCGGTTGTGCGCATGGATCTGTGAAATAGTCTAGGCCTAAAGTTTAGGCCGTAGGCTAACCTAATTCAGTATAGGCCTAACACCAAGTTTATTAATTGCAAGGGATTTCTGTAAGGAAAGGGAGTTAAATCCTGCACCTAGGGGAAACAGGTTTAAATATAGGCCAAATAAGGTGGACTTGTGTTCATTGCACTCAGTTCCTTAACTGTATGTGATTTTATTTCCTGTCTAGGTTGGATAGAGTTTCCCATCAAAGACAAGATAAACCAGAAGTAATTTGCTGACGTCCTGGCCCTCAAGCAGCCAGTTAGAAAGGTTTTTGTCATCAAGTACATCACAGAAAGTTGAGGAACTGATGACCAATAGCTGTGTTGACAAGATGGGGGATGACAGCGCCCTCCGGAAGAGCCTACTGGAGAAGAATGAGTACTTCAAGAAGATGGTCGATCTCATTCCTGCCAAGTACTACCTGGACAAAGAGACCAAGAAAGCTGGGGAAAAGTTTTACAAAAACATCAAAGGTTGAAAACTTTGGACCTTAACCTTGCCCCATCTCACATGACCTAACAGTAATATATTTTGGGCACGATGGGTTGTTATGCACAGTCGCTCAGTCTTTGTGTGATCGGTCGATCTCACGGCATGATTGTCAAAAATTCTATAATTGGATATTTGCCGTTTCTCTCTTATTCGTGGTTGTCGAAGAGTTTTTTTGAAAAAAAAAAAAAGAGTACATTTGGTGGAATCGACCAATTGTGTAGAGCGATTGTGCAGATTGGCTGATTGTGGCCAATATATATCTGTTAGACCTTGTTGTGTTCAGTCATCAGCATCTACCTGAAGTATTCGTCAAACAGTGCAACTTGTTTCATTAGACAGTTTCACTATTGGTCCAAAAACTTCCTGAAATGGCTCGAGAACTGGTGTTCTAAGACTGTTCGCTCTACTTATATTCAACAGGCTTCTTGTTTTGAAAACTTGGTGCTAAAGTTAAAAGTTTAATTTAAATTAAAAGCTGAGTTTGAAAGAAAAGTTTAAAAGAAGTTAATTTAATGCATATTATTAGTGCAAAAAGAAGAATTTTTTCACATGCTTTCAAGAAAATTAAATCGTTTTTGGATGCAGAGGAAGCTCCGCGACAAGAATTCAAAGATAAGTCCACCAAACTGAGCAGAAAGAAGCAACGCATGGACCCTGATGCCAAGCAGGAACTCAAGGTGACAGACCTCCAGGATGCGCTGGCCCTGAAGGAGGTTGAGAGAGAAAAGAGGCGGCAGGAGAAGATCCGGCAGGAGAGGAAGGAGGCGGAGGCAGACAAGACTGAAGAGGGAGGCAAGAATAATGAAGAGAGTAGCGGGGATGAGATGGAGGGACTTGAAGGAGGGCTTCAAGGTCTTGGAGAAAGTGGTGAGTGTTGTGAAAACTAGTTCACCAGCCAGGACAGTTGATCCTCAATTCCCTGCTGTTTTGTGGTTTCAGCCTGGATGGAGTTTCGTAGGCCACAGAAGTACAGATGTGACATCTGTGGAAAGGACTAGTCACATATACTCGCTAGAAAGGATTCTGCACAGATCAGAACTCGGCAAAAAGGCTTTGGGTGAAGAGATTGTCTTGAACTTTGGAACTTGGTCGAAGGGACCTGGGCACATGCTCCTTTTTATTCTCATAAGCAACCCTCTACAGACTTGCAGACTAGTTTTGTAGGACCTGATGCTTTTCACAGGATAACCACTTAACACTTCATGCAAGTTGTGAGTCTTGTAGAAAGTTAAAACCCTTAATAATATGCATGTAACTAAAAGCTAAAAGTCTTTCATAACAGGTTTTTTGTGGAGACATTGTCACAGTTTGAAATGAACTTGTTTCAATAAATATAAATGTTTTTCTTTGTAATGTGCAGACAGCAAAGATTGGTCCTCAAGGAGGGTTGCTCAGCCCATCAGTGTGGAGAAGATTCAGAGTAGTGCGAGCATCAATGATCTCAGGAGAAAAGTCCGGGAGAAAATTGAGCAAATGCGCCAACAGAGGCATGCCAAATCCCTGGCAGGGAATGCCGTCATGTCCAAGAAGGCGGCTAAGCAGGTCCAAGAGGCCGATAAGAAAAAAATGAGGAAGCAGGAAACTTATCAAGCCATTAAGGCCAGCAGGGAGCAAAAGAGGAAAGAGAGGGAAAAACAAAGGACAGTCAACGGAGGCAGGAAAGAGGAAGAGGGAGTTGATTTGCAAGAAGGCGAAGCCGAGGTTCAAGGAACAAGTAAAGTTTCCTTCAGTAAGTTTGACTTTGAGGAGAGTAGAGAGTCCAAAAAGAGCAAGAAGAAGAAAACAAAGCGGAAAGCTGGGGAGGAGAAGCTCAGCGGGCGGGACTATGAAGGCCTCCTCAAGAAGGTCCAGGCTAAGAAACAAAAGATCAACGAGGTGAAGAAGAGCAATCCGGATGCGGCAGAGGACATGATCAAGCAGGATAAATGGCGGGCTGCGCTGGACCGCGCCGAAGGTAAGAAGGTCCGGGATGACCCGGAGCTCCTGAAGAAGTCCATCCGGAAGAAGAAAGAGAAGAAGAAGCACAGCGAGAAGAAGTGGACAGAGAGGAAGCAGAAGACGAAGGAACTGATGGATGAGAGACAGAAAAAGAGGAGAACGAACCTGAAGGGACGGAGGGACGCTCGCAAGGCCAAGAAGGTGAAGCGACTGCAGAAAAAGGGGAAATTACTCCTCAAGGACTCGGACTATTAGCGCAGATTTCCACAGGGATAGCTCATAAGAATCATCTCTGTACATGTTTTTTACAACCTAGTTGCTGTCACCACCAATAGTGTAAGTAAGTGGTAATGTCAGTTAGTTTAAACCCATTATCATGCCACATCCCCCTGGTGTCGTGCTTCATGTACAGTTTGGCCGCTTCTGAACCTTTTTACTGCCATCCTACTCTTGAATAAGTCAGGAGGAATACTTTTAAGAACAAAGGTTCAGTGGTCCAGTATTTAATATGTGTATTCCATTCTCTTTGGTTTTGTTCTTCCGGTCTTTTCTGTAGTAAAGATGTATTGGTGTTTAGTCTGACTTGGGCTTTGTCCAAATCAGCTGGCTGTGGCTGTAACACATACGTCTATGCAAAGTGGCTGTAGCCATGAGCTAGTGGCTTTCATTGGTGCATGCATTATTTCGAGCCTCAGCCACGAGTTTTGGACACAGCCTTAGTCTGAAGGTGAGGTCAGGTCATCTTGACCACTTGCCACTTTCATTTTTCTCAATCGCTGGAAGATTAACAGAAGGAACTTTTCCACTCAAGAGAAACTTCGGAACTCACAATCTACGCTAATTAGTAAAGGATCAAAATGTTTGGAAAACCCTTTTTTTTTTTAAACTTCCACAAATATTTTAATTGTGTTATTAAGTTAAATGTATCTTATGAACGGAGCACACACTTCATCTGAATGACAACAGCTCAGTTGAGGATGCTCAATTGTATGCGTTTATTAACTACATTGAAATATTTGGTAGATTCCACAGCAAAAATACTTCAGGACATACTGTTGTACAGTTCAAAAAATATTTTGAAATATTTAAGAATGACCATGTTGGTTCAATTTTGCCAGTGCTATGGTGAGTACAACGGTAAAATAAAATGTTTTCCTCATCTTTCAGGACAGTACCCTCGTTTGACCTTGAAAGAATTTTTCCTCAACTAAAATTTTATTCTAACAACTTAAAAGTATTTACACTGAAAAAATGCCTTAAAAACTGAGGGTAACACAAAATTGGAATTTTAACAAACGTGAAAACATAAGCTGCAAGGAACAATCCAGTGTTTCTATAATCTATTAAGAGTCCATATCGTAACAGTTGTACATGCTGCCTCGTGCCTCTCTTGAAAATATACCCGAAACCCTCTTCTAAAATCTTTCGAAAAGTTTTCATTTGATTTTTCTTAAATTGAAACCTGGGATGTACCATTTCAAACTAATATTGCAATAAAATACAAAAGTATTTTAATTTATGTTTCATCGTCCTTTTGACTTTCTGAGTAACAAGATGAGTGAAGTTTGTGCAATTACATAAAAAGGATAGGAGACGTAACAGCAATTTTTCTGAAAGGCACGATCATCTTTTCCTCTTGATCTTTTTTGCTCCAGTTTTTTCTTTCTTAACCCTTTTAGCATCTCCATAGTCTTGCCTCTTGCTTTGTTTCTTTTCCTGAAATGAAAATAAACACAACCTTTTAAATAAAGCCTTTTTGAAAAACTACAAAATTATCAAGTATGTATTCAATGAAAAGAATTTTTCTGAAAAGAAAATAATAAATCTACGTACTGGGGAGTTTACTCCGGCAGCCTTTTGTTGGAACTTCTTGAGATCGGCACTGAACAAAACCTGAAATGTGCAGATAAAAATTTCAAGCAGTCTAATAATGTTAAAAATTTCTTAAGACCTTTATATCCACCAGAAAATTTTACAAAAGAAAATTAAGGAGTGAAAAGAAGTTAAGATCACTCTGATTTAACTCTCCCAGAAACAGAGTAGCACTGCACCATACTTGTGCCACACGAAAATTTTGGGAGAAGTGTGTAATCAAGGAAATGAAAAATCAACTGGGGGGATATGAAAGGCTTGGGGCTGTATCACAGCAAACCATACTGACACAATAGAGGGCTTTGCACAATGCACCCTCAGCAGAGAGCAGGTCTTGACAAACATGTACATGGGTGGAGCTCTTATACTTTCATTGCTAATTTAAATAACGAAGACATCCCTCCGTCAGGATACATGTACGTCATGCAAGCCGTCTTACCGAGTGGGCCCAACCAGCATATTCCCCAAACAGCTCGCGGAAGAATGCTCCGATCTCTTTATAAACTTTGTCCGTCAGGGATTTGGTCTTGTTGAGAGAGGGCATGTAGTCGCGGGATGCTATCTGCCAGACATGAGTGTCGACGGGAATGGCATCCATCTTATCCATGGACATGAGACAGACGCAGTCGGCTACCTAAGGATTCATCATGGAAACAGGTGAATGGAAGATAATATAAGAATTCTAAAGTAAGTCAAATTTGTTAAATGAGAACACCAACTCACTTGATGTTGAAAATGGGCACTGTGAATATAGAACCTGCACGATGTGCTCTTACTGAGGAAAGATCGTTGTTCTGTGTGATATGCGTGAGTAGACCCTCTGTACTTCCATTGTCACAGAATTAGAATAACAAAAATGCACTCTGTGAGGGCGCTCCACACAGCCCCTCTGGTAAATTTTGTGGATGTGATGATGTACACAGCTTTGATAGAAATCTTGCCAAATCATACAAGAAAGGGCTAAATTTACAGGCTGTCAACTACTAGAATTTGAGAAGCCAAGAAAATAATTTGATTAGAAAAGGCAGGTTACCAGCCAAAATTTAAATGTCACGTACACTATATCGCTTGTGACTGGTCCCCATATGATTGTTGCTTACTACTGCAAAGTAGTATTATCGGCTCTGTAAATTGGGCCAAGATTGTTACCTTGGCTCCCACACCAGGCAGTTTCATTAATTCAGCGTGAGCTTCCTCGTAAGCAAGCTGTCTCAGACCCTCTAGCCAACCCTCTGGCTGTGCCTTGATATACTTGGCTGTCTGGTTGATGAACTTCGCCCGGTAACCGAAGCCCTTCTCTCGCAGCTCTTGCTCAATGCCATCTCGGGCCAAGGCGGACACAGATGGGAATGCATGCCAGGGCCTGTCGTCCAAGATGGCAATCTCCTCTCCGTAGGTTGAGCAGAGTGTCTCCACCATGCCCGTGATGCGGGAGATGTTATTGTTGGAGGAGCAGATGAAGGAGAAAAGATTTTCGGTCGGGTCTTGGCGGAGAACCCGAACTCCGGGAAAGCCTGGGCAGACTTTAGTGAAGTTGGCATCAGCAGCCTTAAAAGTCTTGTAAAGCTTCTCCAGGCTTATATTTAACTGAAAGTAGTCCTTCAAGATGGATGAAAACATTGCATCTGTACTTATGCCATCTCCAATTTTCTCCTCCTCAATATTGGTGATTGCTACATTTTCTTGCTTTGAGTTATTCCTAGTATGGTTAGATTTAGAGTTTTTCCCAGTAACAATGTGGTCTTCTTTCTGTCGGTCCTTTTCAGGCTTTTGCTCTTCAAGTATTTCTTCCTTCTCAGAGTCTTCCAATGAGGATGAGGAATCCTCATACACCTGATAAAGAATCTCATCTTCATTTTGTCTTAAAGTCCACACTTTGCTGGACAAGACACTCCGCCACATGCCTGGTTGAATCTCCTTCCATCTGTAATCAGGAAAGAAATGTAAAATGTTAGCCGTGACAATGGTGATGACACGAGGATGCCGAGGAGAATCGATGATGCACAATGAGAAGGCATTTCTCCTTAACAATTCAGAAGCACACAGCAAAAATTACAATGCAAAATAAACTTGTGATAAATTAAGGACAACCGGAAATAAAGAGTTCAATGTGTGTAATAACAGCAACAAAAGTTAATGATGTGTAAACAGTACAGTGATTTTACACAAGAACTCGAACTTGAAGAGTTTAGATCGAACATTGACAATGACATGATAGATTTCCGCATCCTGCAGAGCTAACGTTAGGAATAAAATACCTGAAACTTTGTCCACAATCTAAGGTGATATCGAGCCGTAGTTCCGATATTTTGCAAGGTAATGACCTCCATATATTTGCCATAATTTCAAATATTTATTTGACTCGAAATTCACCAGAAAATTAACATTAACCGCGCGCCGCTCCGGCAGTAAAGTACTGCCGCACAAACTTTGACCTTTGACTTGAAATTTAAAGAAATGAATATTTATAAAAAAAACAGGAGTCATCCTTTTCCCCACGGGATACAATTGTGATGCATATCATTTTACGCATTGAGATCGACGAGGTTGCAAATGGGAAAGGTCGTTGTCCCGGCTACGGTCATCACTGTACGTACATACGTCCGTGTATGGTGTGCATGCTGTACATGTACATGTACATTGTACATGTAGTTCTCGAGTGTTGATTGGGATGGTTTAAGCCAGATGTTTCATTTTCAGGTGAGAACTCACTTTTCGATATCAAATGCCACAGATGTTATGTACGCCTATATTTAGACATGAATAGTTATAAATTATTACTGTTTGATAATTTATCGCAAAGGGAGTCGTTTTGGAAGTCGAAACAAGGGGTGTTTTTCCCATTCAGAAAGAGAGTTGTCATCGCTTGCTCAGCATAACAGGCTGATCAACACCATCAACACTATCATCATTGCAGGCATGTTGAAGTGTTGATTGTTTATCATTGTGAAGTTTGAGAGGTGTGTCGTATGTTAAACAATAAGGCCAACGGGAAGAGTTCCATACATGGACGCCAGTAATTATTCCCTATAGTCATGACAGTGACTTAGGCTATAGCAATCAGAAAGCAAAAACATGTCCAGAAAAGTTCAACTTAAGAGGGAAAAAACCATGGGAAAAACCAAGTTGTTTACTTAGAGTTAGAAAACACAAACTTTTTAGAATTTTTTCAGACCAGTAGGCCTATATTATGGAACTCTATATAGACCCCAGAAGAGTTTTGAACAAAATGTTAATTCCTTTTTCAGGCATTCTCTGAAATGGACCTAATGCTGCAATAGTTTTACCTTGTCAAACAACTTTTCTTTGTCCAATAACACGTCACTAGGACAGACTTTAGTCTGCACTATTTCCATGTGTAGCCGTCTCTGTAGTGTTAATTGCATGGTCCTCTGCAGGTCTCAATATCACAAGACGTCATGTAACTGGAAGCAGTTGTTCCTGAAGTTTGACCTTACTCTGGCCTCACAGTTTGGATGCCTCAACACAAGAAGTCAAAATGAGAACTTAGTCAAAGAATAGACAAATTGAAGACTGATTCCAACAAAGTGGCCATTGCCGGCAGTGAAGATGTTCACCATTCACCACCAGCCCCAACTTGCCCTGTGGCTCAAGGAACGAGAGAAACCACAGCGGCTGAAAACCATCATGGAGAAAGAGAGGAAGTCGGAATTCTTGAGACAGGCGGAAGAAAAAGGATACCTCCAGTCACCGACAAAAAGTTACCTCCTTGAGAGAGGGAAGGGCAGAGCTAGCAAGAAGGAAATGTCAACTAAGAGAACGCCGTCAGTGTCGGACATCCATCTGGTGAAACTCTGCAGCGTGCATCTCATGAATCTTGGGCAGATCCAGCTTCTGACACGGTTGAAGATCTGCATCCTCCCCGGGAACTACATCACAAGCTTCGTGGCCCTGGCCAACTGTGCCGAGCTGGTGAAGTTGGACCTTCACAGCAATCAGATCTCCACCCTGCCGGGACCCGAGTTCTGGCGTTGCCTGCCCAACCTGAAGGTCCTCCACCTTCACAATAACTGTATTGGCAAACTGGACACGTTGCAACACGTGGGTGAGGCAGGGGCCATTCAGGTTCTGACGATGTACGACACACCGGTCAGTTTGAAGAAAACTTACAGACACCACATTGTCAACAGGTATGGCTGTGCAGTCTCAAGTTCAAAAAAGCAACGCAGAAATAGAACAAACTATTGAATTGAAATAATTATATTTAAGATATGTAATTTTTAAAATGCCTTGCTAGCATAATAGGTGGTTAGGTACAAATAGTATATAATAGTATTTGTTGGGGTTGATGCATCAAATATGTTTTTGTTTTAGTCTTATCCAAAGATAAGTTAGCTGGAAAAAATGAGAAATACAGAAAAAAACACTTTAATAAAATGAGCATAAAATATTTAAATTTAAGAAACTACTTGAATTTAAAAGAAACTCTTTTAACAAATTTTGTGGTGTCTGTACTTTTCAAGTTGTTTCACTTATTTATAAATGCTTCATGTGATGTTTCGTCTTCATACAGCATCTGGTCCTTGAAGGCTCTAGACTATTATGTCATCTCAGATGAAGAAATCATTGAAGATGCCTCATTTGGAGGTCATTTTGCTTCAATGAATCCATCCTTCCGATACAATCCTGTTCCTCACTCAAAGAAGGTTTGTTCATATGTACTTGTTTTGATTCTTATTATGGTACGGCTTCTTAAACTATCACAGAAGAAATAAACTTGCAGGTTGCCAGTATAGGTTGGGTGCTGTTGGTTTATCATGGTCACGATTTCTTGATTTTTCCACCATCAGCTGATCAACTCCTGATTCCAGGATGTGGAAGTTTTGGTTTAAAAAGGGAAGCATCGTCCCAGTTTTTCTACTCCATGGATTGATAGCAGAGCAATTGACCAATCTTGTGTATTGGCCCATCGTAGCCAAGAGCCAACATATACTCAAGTCATTTGTTTTTGTTTGTTATTTCAGGATTCTACCTTTGAGGATGAGATGTCACTCATCCGGCAGGTCCTGGAGGAAGTGTCTAATATCCAGGCTCACCATTCTCCCGTCCTCATCATCCAGAAAGCTATCAGAGGCTTCCTAGTCAGGCGACAACACAAGTTACTCCTGGACACCAAAATATGGTCAGTCCTAATTCTGGCATTTTAGAGTGGTCCAAACTTCAATAAATGCCTTACTGACAGATTTTTACTTCTCCAAGCTTTCAGTTTGCATTTTGGCAGGTGGGACAGTAAAGTGTTTGTTTTAAAATGTTGGACAGAGCTGATATAAATAACTACCTAAGCAAGGATTTCAAATCTTTCTTTTTCTTTTCATTTAGGGCCTCAGTATGCATACAGAGATTTTGGAGACACTTCAAGGGTCTCGAATGGAAGCCCCCAGCCAAACCATCCACCCCCACACAACCCCCAACCAAACCCCAGATGCAACCTCCATCCAAATCCCAGATGCAACCCGCAGCAGCACCCATTGTTACCAAGACAGACTCGCCCCTACCCCCAGTAGCCCCATCCATCACCGATGGCTCCACCGTCACTCGGATTGACTACGACACCTATCTGGCCAACCGCCGACCAGGTTCCAAAACTCCTAGCATGGTGTCCTCCGCAACAGCTGAAAGGAAAGCAGTAAACTTGGAGGATATAAGAATGACTGGCTACTCAGAGAAGGTAAGTTCATTGCTCTCTCAAGCCTCTCTTTGCCAAAGTTTACTGCAAGGCTGTGGCATCAGACAGATTGTCAACTTTGTTTTTTTCAGAGATGAGTCACACGTTAAATGCGTCAAGCCTGATAATTTTGCTGAGAGATTTGAGATTAAACAAATTGAAAGTAGTAACTATGTCGTACTATTAAGTATGAGTTAGCTCTAAGTCGGATATTTAGAAATGGAAGCACAGTGTAAGAGTTCTGTAAACTCACACAAAATTCTTGATAAATGTGTTGCTTTTGGTAATGATTAAGTGTTGATGACAAGGTAGCAGTTTACTTACTGTTTCTTTTTTTTTAATGTTTGTCCGTTAGGAAACTGGTTTCAGCATGGCTGCCATTTCCTCAGCAACTCCTTGTGTTAGTGAGCCATTGTCCTCTATGCGTAAGCGAACCAACCTCCACATTGACCTGACAAAACTCCAGACTGACTCCATGTTCAAGAACGATGAAGCGAGGCAGGCCATCGTCTTTGAGACGAGCATCGATGAGGGTATCGGCTCCTTCTTTGGTCTCAGCAAGCCCCGAGAACAAGGTGTGGAGCCAGTCAGAAGCGTCAAGAAACTCAGGAAAGAAAGACAGCCTAAGGAGAAAAAGAAGGAGTTTAGAACTGTCAAGCAGATGCTTGGACCACTACCAAACCGCCAACTAGAGAGGGACCGGGACGATGGAACTGACTCAGACGAGGAGGAGCCTCCGATCAAGTTCCGCCTCTCAGGGTTGAAGTCGGTCATGCATGATGTAGATTTGCTGCAGGAGATGTTGATTGCAAGACGCGAGGCGGGAGAAGACATTCGGAATGCCCACCGAGATGTGATTGATAGGACATTACACGAAACCAACCAGAAGTCGGTCAAGTCAAAAATGGTCAACGCCGATCAGAGGCTGTTTGCCAAAGTTCAGGGAACCATGGGAATGTCATGCTTGCGGGCTGTTCAGCAGGCCTATAGGGATCGCGCTAAGGTTGAGAAGTTGGCATCAACGGTGGACAAAGTGATGTCCCTGCGTGAGATGAGGGAATCCTCCAAGCAGCGGGCAAGGAACTTCCTAGAGGAGAAACGCCTTCAAGCCCTGAAGAAAAAAGACGTGGATGCCAGCACCATTGTAGACTCTCTAGAAAGACAGGCTAACCTTGAGAAAATTGAGAAAGCCAAAAGAAAAGAACGGCGCTCAAAATCTCAGGAGCTGTCTAAAACTTTCAACCATGACAAATCATTTGCTGTGGACTTCACTGGGCAGAATACGTCCATCTCCAATGCTTTAATCAGACATGACCGACAAGCGAAGGACGAAATGTCACTCCAGGCCAAAAAGGACATGGTCGAAGGGGAGCGCGAACATAACAAACACCAACTCGAGCTAGTCCAGAAATACCTAGAACACCGACAGATGATGAGGCAAGCCCAGGTCGCCGTGGAGCGAGCTGCTCTAGACACTAGGATGCTGCAGGAGGCAAATGAACGCCTCATGGAGGCCAGAGCTCGGATCACCCAGCAGAAACAGAAGTCCAAATCTGTCCAGGCCTTCTATCCCCTACCCAAGACAGCTACAGACCCTGTCTTACCCCCAGTTAACCAGGAGGGTAAACCAGATCGCTTCCATACCCTTATTGCCATGTATGAAGGGAGGGTTGGAAACCACCCCACGGTAGTTAACACATAGTGTTTAGTTGAACTTATAAAACGCGTCTGTAATGCACAAAAGGTGCTTTTTTTGAATTGCTTTCTAATTATTAATGTATGTATGTCATTCTGTTAACAGTTCAAGTGAATTTGTGGGGATAATCTGCCAATTTGCTCAAAAAGAAGCATTTTGTTCTAGTTGTACGATTGGTATTGCAGAGAGATAAATAAATTTACCCAAAGTGTCTTGAAGAATTACAAAAATGTGTTTAATTGTTCTTTCAGTTAAGTGATCTCATTTTACATTTAAAATGATTTGAACTATATGTGTAGTTGTGCTTTTTAGCATTAATTGAGCAAACAGTAATACCTTCTTGCTAGTGTACTTGAAATATCCGATGCTAACATAATACAATAGCTGTTAGTGACGAAAACTTGACTGCTAACCTAACTAGTTAGGAAAAGAATATTCTATCGTATTGAACATTTGACATCAAAACTAGACACCTTGCCGTATTGAAACCTCTTGGTCCTAAATAGTCATTTCTTTGTGCTTATTGTCGGACAGGTATTTTAGCTTTAGTAGAAAATCTTACCATTTGACGTACGTGTACACAGAAGGCTCTGAAGTTTCCTTTTATGTAACAGCATTTTGTATACGTGTATACATTATGTCAGTTCGTTTTTTAGTGTACTATGGCATCTGCTGTCAGAATGTTTTATATGTGTACATTATCTTGAATTGAAGTTTAACTTTCCCATCATTTTTCAGTTTGCTGCTTGTTTCCTTTGCAGTTTGAAATTAGCTGTAACACCTGCTTAGCAGGTCGTTACTTTGGCAGAGTCTTTTGCTCTTGGATTTTTGTCTCAAACATTTTATTCAGTTGATTGAATCAATAAAGACTGAAGTCATTTCTGGGATTCGAAAACAATGACCGTAATTTTGTTTACTATTTAAAGGGTGGACTTACAATGGAGACAGGGCATCTCCCTTTCAGCAACAAAAATAGCAAATTAAAAGAAAGCAAGAATATTCTTGGGACAGCTAAATTCATGTAATAGAAATGCATGTACGTGTGTGCTTGATTTTATAAGTTGGGAGTGGAATTAAGGTTTATATTAAGTCCTTGTAAAGTGAATGGATGGCTTGCTTTTCCATTCAAAGTTTTAAATAACGATTTCATTCCCATGCGCATGTAAAAGCAAGTATCGCCATACTTTGTCGAGGTGACATGTACATGTATACTTGTGCAAATATTTCCCGTTCCCTATTTGTCCCTGAACTGTGTTTTTAAAATCACTGACCCGAAGCGGGGAAAGATTTGAGTGCAGCACCCGATTTATTTATGTGCAACGCGGTTGTTTGCTAAAAAACCAAATGGACATGTCGCAACTGTTGCGATTGTAAAGTTGCGCTCTTTCCTGCTTGAAAATCATGACGACTTAAAGACTACACGTACATGTCTACTAATTTATATAAGAGATGAAATATGTTTCTGTGACGGGAGAAGAGGCACAAAATTTCACCCATGTTCCTGAAAGATGTTCCGTTTTATTTCTTGATTCTCGCATTGAATGAGGTAGCTATTTGTGAGTCTATTTTACTGAGTGTCTGTTGGTTGCTTTTTGGTGTGTGTGTGTGTTTTTTTTGATCGGCGGGTGGAGGAGTCGGCTCTAAGAATGGGCTATTGAAATTAAAGCTAGTAAAATGTAAATTATGTGAGTTGGGAAGGTGAGTGGTTTGTTCGTCGCGTGGAGTCCTAATGGATGTAACATGACCTTCCTCCGTGGTTGTAAACAGCATGAGAAAATACCCAATTAGCAACTGTGGAAACCGGGTGGGGGGGTTGTTCCCCTCAAAAACAAGTCGACTGTGCCGCCAGTTCACTTTTAACACCAGCTGCTGACCACCTGGAGCCATCCGTGGTTAACCGCAATGTTTATTGAACGAGCAATTAATTACCAGCCGATTAGTGGGTCGTGCCGCAGTCAAAATAATGTCGGTCACGAAATCCACAGCTGTGTACAGCTAGCTATAGCCAGATATTTCGAGATAAAAGCTTATCTCTGTGATCTCTTATATAAAACAAAAATCAGTTGAAAAATTTATAGTTTTCGCCTGAAGGCATCCATTCACAGTGTGCATTTTCCCCATATTAATCAGGCGTTTTCCTATCGCCTTTCCCCGACTGTGAAGCAACGAAATGTCCAATCAGCCTCAAAACAACAATTCAAGACAGGTAAGAAAAGCCACTTATACCGCAGAATGGGTTTCTTGATGCCAATTATGACCCATAATTATCATAAATTAACTCAAAAGACTTGTAGAAATGCGATATACTTTGTAGTAAATATATTTAATACCATAGTTAAACGGAATGTGATTTTGTGATGAGTGTTCCAAGAGTTCACATTAAAGAAAACCAAGTAGAAATTACGAAGGACTTGAAAACCCTGATGGAAAACTTGAATGTCTACATTTGTGAAAAAGTTGAGAACTTGCTGAAAAAGATCTATGTTTCGGTCTCAGTACACCTTTCTTGAGTATTAGATTTCTTTGTTGAATTTAAATCTTCTTTGTAGACCTACATAATAGTTACATGTATTTTGTAACTTTATCCCAATAGATCTCCAAATTCCTAATCCTGATGTTCAGATTGTATCTTCAAGGAGACCAATTTCCTTGGATCTTCTTGTGGTTGTGGATACAAGCTCCTATCGTTACCATGGTGATGACACAGAACATTACATCATGAACATGCTGAATGTGGTAAATTTATTTGTTCAACATTTCCTGTAGGCTTAGTGAAATGTATCTGTTTTGAAATATTTAACAAGCATGGTATTTTGATGTAACTAGTGATGCTAATGTTACAGACTATCAGGAGCTACGCATGCCCAAAATGTCAGGATCAGCTACTTTGAACTTTGATAAATGTGTTAAAAACTTCATTTTTTTAAAAGGCTGCAAGCCTCTGGCAGAGTTCATCATTGCCTGCTGATGTGAGAGTCCGTATCGTTAAGATCCATGTCCTGAAGGAAAAGCACCAGGCAAGTGTTTTAATGCCTTTCAATTTAAGGTCTTCAATTTTTCTCCCATATTTCACCAATTCTTGCACTTTTTAAAATTTGCTTTTACACTTTCCAATCCTTTTCTATCTGTAGAGTGATTTGGAGCTCACAGATCATGCCAACTGGTCATTGATGAAATTTTGTCAATGGCAAAGACAATACTTCATGACAAGGGACAAAGAAAGAGTTCACTTTGATGCTGCCATTCTTGTAACCAGGTGAGTGACCACTAACTGGACAGAACAAAACTAAAGCTTTACTGATTTAGAAATGACAACAGAATTAGGCAGTACTAAATATAATCAGTACTAAAATCTCATCAATTTTAATACATAAGCATTAGAAGTAATGCTTAAAAATCTTTAGTGTGTTTTGGATTGGTTTAGACTTAGTCTTTGTGACTTGGGAGATAAACCCAACCGAGCATGAAGCTCAAACTTTGAACAAAGTAGACATGAATAAGGTTGGGGTTTGAGTTCTCATACAGGTTTGGCTCAAACGTCAATGTGATTTGCATCCTCTTACAGCAGCCAGAATAAGAAGATGGTTCATAAAAAGTAGAAGAAATTGGTAAATTCGTTATTTGTTCAGTGTATATCAATCCATTTCTTGTTTTCTTCATCAGAATTGACATCCAGATCGGTGGAAACTACGATGCGACAGGCATAGCATACAACCAAGGGATGTGTGACTTGGAGTACCACTGTGCAATCTGTGAAGATAAAAGTCCCATGATTCTCTCCCACACCATTACTCATGAAATAGGCCACCTGTGGGTTAAATATCAATCTTTATTATTTACAGAAAAAGTCTTTTTTTTTAATGTGTTTTCCCCACTCAAACTTCTACTTCTGGCCCAGTTCACCCTGTGGAAAAAATATCACTGAGACAGGTTGATGTAAATCTAGTCCCAATTTGTAATTGTGTTTTTCACTTCCATAGTGTTCCTAATTGCCTCCTTAAATTTCAGACTTGAAAGAAAATCTTGTCTCTGACAGTGTTGATTTTTTTTTTGCGCCATTCAGCTTGGGTATGCGCCATGATGGGAACCAAAACACGTGCCCAGACCGCGTCTTCATTATGAGTGGATATGCTACCCGTGGACATCAAACTTTTATCTGGTCGACGTGCAGCCAAAAGGCACTGGCAGAATTCCTCAGGTGAATAGTTTACGTTTATATTTTCATCATTTTAAGACATCTTTTCCCAAGAAAGTCTGCTTCTTTTCCCCTCTGTTGAAAGTTTGAATTGACTGGATATCGATCGTCTTTGCATTTCACATTTGCAGTTCAAACCGTGCTCGCTGTTTAGATGATGCTCTCTCTGCATCACGGACACCAGGTGTTGCCTTGGATACAAATGCAATGCCAGGAAGAATTTACGATGCAGACTACCAGTGTCAGATGATATATGGGGCTACAGCTAAAGCATGCAAGGAGCAAAATAAAACTGTAATATGGAGAGTTGATAAAAGTCTTCTATAATCTTCAAAGTTAACAAAAACCCTCTAAAGCAGAAAATAGAATACTGTTTTTGTGTGCAGGAGTTAATTTTTATCTCCCATGTTACATTTGTACATGAAGTCGATTAGGCTTAATAAGAACAGCCAGTAGTGACGTATTTCAAACACTCTTCTAACAGATTATAGTCCTCATCAATTACAACTTTTCCGTGGTTAAAAAAAATTACATTTCGAACGTATTAAACCTTTTTCCAGCATCCATTGTTGCTGCATTAACCAGCCTCTCTTCTCACATCCAGAAAATGTGTGGCATGCTGAAATGCCAGAAGGATGAAAAACGCTCCGAATGTGTGACTGACGGGAGACCCGCTTTGCAGGGCACCAGCTGCGGCTCTTTGAAGGTACATGTATAGGCCTGGTTATGTTTTGCTTAAGTTTGGAGAACAATTATTTGGAGTTTTCACTAATTGCAAATCATGTCTTAACTGCAATAAAGTTCATTTTTATTTTGACTTGTTTTCTGTTGCAGTGGTGCTTGAGAGCGTTTTGTGTCCAAAGAACTATTCGCAGTCATCATGACGATGATACTGCAATTGCATACAGACAGAATGACCAACCAACAGACGGACAATACTGCAATGAGTGTAGTACATTTCCCTACATGGATACCCCAGCACCAACAACCAATCAGGATGGAGTACCACTGGAATTATAAATGCACGGTTCTCCTCAATCCAATCTCACCCCAGCCTATTCTATCCTATCTACCTTCCTATCTCAACCCCGAATCTGTCCCCACCCAACTCCAAACAACTCAAGTCATCCCTGACTGCCTCCAGACTCCCCAACCTTTTACCCATGTACCCAACCCCATCCACCCCACCCCAACCCATTTAACACCACTCTGCCATGGGTTGGGGGGGGGTAGTAAGGGAAAATTTCCCCCTTCCCCTGGAAAAATTTGAAAGGGAGCAAGAAAAGAAAAGTAGATAGGGGATGAAAATGGCAAATTTGCTTAAAAAAAACATTAAAATTGATCCCCTCCCACTTCTAATGGTTTTTAAGTTTGTATCTGACCAGTGCTTCCCCAGAAATCCCCCCGAAAAGAATTACATGTATGTGCCCCTCAGAAAACATCCTCGCAATGTCCACACACCCTGCCCCCACCCCTACCCTCTACTCCTATTCCATACCACCCAATTCAACTTTCTTCAGCAACCAACCCTCCCTTCCAACCACCCCCCCCTAATTCAACTTGAATGACTCCACCTCTCCTCACCTCATGCCACGTTTAATTTCACCCTTCCACACCCAACCTCATTTCATCCCGAATGCCAGCTCCAAAATTTCCCCCCAGTCACGCTGGATCGTCCAGGAATGTAAAACTTGCGCCTTTGTATGAGCCTGTTTTAGAGGACAAATTGACCCCGACAAAAGACGGAGTTACAGTTTCGTTGACTTATCTTATACCGAACAGGCTACATTAATTTTGGCATAAAAATCTATTTTTTTAATATCGGATACCTTGAAGCTAAGGGTTTTGTCCTTTTGCCGTGACAGAGAACTTAAAGAAGGGAACAGAAATGTTGGAGTAGTTTTCTGGGCCAATTAGGTGACGGCAGATCGTGGACTATAATATCCTGTGTGATGGGTTAGGCAACAGAGGAATGCAAGGAAAAACTTAAAGTGAACCTATGACATTAAATGAGGAGTGGCAATTTTAATGAGACTTATAGCGTTTACAGCCAATGCATCTAAATTTTCTCTTTGAAGAGCAACTAAAATGTTATGTCGGCCGATCGATGTTGTACGGAAGCGTATAGCTGCCGACTCGAAAAATTTTTTTTTTCTCGTTTAAACGAGATATGTCGTTTAAACGAGATACTAAGTCTAGATGGATTTTTTTTCCGGATTGGCAGCAATACGCTTTCGTAATGATGTGCCAACGGTTGGGCGAGGGTTTAACAACAAGGGGTCGGGGTGTCACCGGATACTAGGACTAAGTTTTCCTTGGGGGATGAGGGTGGGCAAGGGAAAAGGGAAAACCTTGAACTTGACATCTTCATTAAAACTACAAATGCATCTGGTACTGCAAAGAGCACCGGGCACACGTACTGATCTGAGCAATATTAAAATTCAGTATCATTTATTTCGGCATCCTCAATATTTGTGAGCTCAAAATATTTGTAGGGATTGAAATGATGCGAAGCATTTAATAATTGGTTAATGAATGTAAGTAAAATGTCGTATTTCATTTCCAATAAAGTTCCCATGCAAAAGAAGTCAGATAATTGGTAAAATTTTTCCTCATAATTGTTCAATCTTTAAAGTTTCATTTTCTTTCAAATATACTGAGATTTCGTCACTAAGGAGACGTTTCTGCATAAGAAGACAGTTTACACTTCTCAATGGAAAACAATACTTTTTTCCCATCAGAGAAAAGAAAAGTATCAATTTTATTAAACCTTTTAAACTGCTGCTTTTCTTTGGGGAGGCGGAGTCTGGGGCAATTGTTTGCCGCCCTCTGTTGGTGAAAAATTGCAACATGGCGGCTTCCATGCGGTTTTTCTCGCAGTGTTCTCGTCTTCAAAGTAAGTTTTTTCGTCATGTATCGTTGAAAATAAGTATATTTCAGATAACAAAGTTTACTACTTTCGTACAATAACTTGATTAAGGGCTAGAACAGAATGGCGGCACTGTGCAACATCACTGAATTCATTTAACATGCCAAACTCGGTT